CCTGCACCCTAGTCCACCCCCTCCCCCACCTCCTGCCTCTCTCCATCCCAGGCCAGCCACAGGGGGCTCCCCAAACCACCTCCCTCAAGGCCCACAATGTTGTACCCACAAAGCGCTCCCAGCTTGGAGTCAAACAGGTAGCCTTGGGTGCCAATCCCAGATCCAGCACTAGCTGGCTTATGGCCTGGGGAAAGTTTCTTCTCTGTCCAAAACAGGAGCCCTGCGACGTCCTGCTCAAGGTTAAATGAGTAATCAGGCAGCCCGGGGTGCAACCTACTCTGAGTGTTCAATCAAGCAGGGAGCTATCATTACTATTCTGTTGTTGTATGTCACTGCCTTGCTCAAAAATCTTCGCTGGGGCCCAGTGCCACAGCATAAAGTTCAAACTGCTCGGCCTGGAGGTCAACACCTCACCCAACCGACCTCTCTATCCTTATCTTCCATTCTTTCCTGTGACGGATCCTTCACTCTGGGTCACGTTGTCCTCTCCAGGGCCACCTCCAGAACACTAAGTCTGCCGGATATTCTTACCCCTTATCTCTCGTGGCTGACCTCATCTTCCAGGTTTCCTTCCTTCCTCCCTCCCTCCCTCCCTCCCTCTCGTCCCTCTCGCTGCTCCCCGCTAACAAGGACATTCTCTGAGGTTCTTCCGATGTGGCCCTCCTTCCTCCTCCCTGGGGATTTAACCCACTCCCTCCTGCAACCCCAAATTCCCTTTAACTTGCTGATGACTTTCTACTCTCTCTCTCTCCTGCCGAGACATCTTCCCAAGCTCCAAACCTGAGACCCCTGGATGTCCCACCCCAGACATCTCAAATCCATCCAGATTTAAGCCAAGTCCTCTTGCCCCAAACCGCTCCCCTTCTGCTCCTGTTCCCTCGGCCCCATCCACTCAGGGCCCAAGCTGGAACTTGGGGCTCCTCCCTGACCCCCCACCTGATCCCATCAATCCCCTATCCTCCCAGTCCTCTTCCTCACTACCACCCCAGCAGCTCCCCACTGCTCTCTGGCCACCAGCCCTGCCTGGACCTACCCTGCAGGCAGAGGGGCATCCTGAAGGAAATCAGCACCCTGAAAACTCTCCAGTGAAGCCAACCACCTACAGCAGTGGGCACAGGAATCCTTCAGGGTGTTCAACATTGCTGACTCTTGGGCCCAGCCACAGTTTGATTAGGTCCGAGCTAGGCCCAGAAATGTGTATTTTGATAAGATGTCCCAGGAGACTCTGATGGGGGAAGAGGAGGCAGCTGTGGACACCTCCCAGAGAAACCTGCCTCCAGAGCCTGGTCAGTGGCTTCCAACCCCCCAGGATCTGGGTCCTACCTACCTCTCAGCCTCGGCTCTCACCTCCTCATTCCTTACTGCACACACACACCTTCCAGAACTTGTCCTTTCCCCAGAGGGCCATTCTCTTCCTCTTTGTTCACACAGTTTTCTGTGCCTGGGACACTCCTGCCATTGTCCCCCAACCTGACATCTACTGTCCTTCAGACTGCAATTGGGACATCTCTTCCTCCAGACTGGGCATGGACCCCCTCCCCGCACCCCAGTCTCTGTGCTTACAGCCTTCAGAGCCCTAAAATACCTTGTAAATTATCCGCCTGTCCCCCTGACATTCAAATGTCAGGTCCTCGAGCACAGGGACGTCTGTCCTGCGCACCCTCATGTTCCCAGTGAAGCCTGTGCCCAGAACGTGTTACGTCCAGTAAATGGTTACTGAATGGACGAACATGGATGGCCTCGCATGGAGCTGCCTTCACTCAGACCCCAGTGCCGTCCCTGCTCCGCAGTGGAAGCTTGGACAACCTCACTCAGCCCTGGCATCCTTACCTGTGAAGCAAGAGGCATGACACCTGCTTTGCAGGTTGTCATGAGGATGCTACGAGATGCTGTGCTCAGTGCCTGACTCAAGCTAAGTGCCACTGTCCCAAACGTGCTGCACGTGGTCCTGTCTTAGGAGCACAGCCAGTAGCTTGGAGCTCCCTGTGGGCAAAGATCAGCCCAAGGATCAGAACAAGGGTTGTAACTGGCCTGAGCCCCTCCCCATCCCATTCCACAAGGAAAGTATGCACATGTCTGCCAGCTGAGTACAGTCGTGCCAAGAACACTGCCTGGCCGGGTGCAGGGACTCATGCTTGTAATCTCAGCACTTTGGGAGGCCAAGGTCAGGAGTTCAAAACCAGCCTGATCAACATGGTGAAACCCTGTCTCAACTAAAAATACAAAAATTAGCTGGATGTGGTGGTGTGCGCCTGTAACCCCATTACTCAGGAGGCTGAGGCAGGAGAATCGCTTGAACCTGGGAGGTGGAAGTTGAAGTGAGCTGAGATTGTGCCACTGAACTCCAGCCTGGGTGACAGAGCCAGACTCCATCTCAAAAAAAAAAAAAAAAAAAAAAAAAAATAGCACTGCCTGGAAGGCTTACTCTCCCCGCTTCCAAAATTTCAGGCTCAGCTAACAAAATGTCCCTTATACGAAGCCCTCAGGGCCTCTCCAGCCCCTGTGTGCTCCCTGATTTCCATCCCAGAGCCCAGGCTGTCCTCCCTCCCACATGGCAGCATGCCCATGGCCTTGCATTCCAGGATGACTCCCCACATGTGGGAGGCCCTCGCCAAAGCCCTTGGTCTGCTTCAGTGCAGCTCAAATGCACTCTCTCTCTTTTTTTTTTTTTTTTTTTTTTTGAGACAGGGTCTTTCTCTGTCGCCCAGGCTGGAGGTGGCTCAATGTCACCTCCACCTCCTGGGTTCAAGCGATCCTCCAGACTCAGCCTCCTAAGTACCTGGGACTACACACATGTGCCACCACACATGGCCAAATTTTGTATTTTTAGTAGAGATGGGGGTTTCACCATGTTGGCCAGGCTTGTCTCAAACTCCTGACCTCACGTGATCCACCTGCCTCGGCCTCCCAAAGTGCTGGGATTACAGGCATGAGCCACCTGGGCTTCCGGCCCAGGAAACAGTTTCTGATTGACCCCACCTGCCTCAGCTCACGCTGCCCACACTACTGTAATTAGCTCTTTCAGCTGTGTTGCCTGGGAAGCATGCATGGGTCACTTTTCAGCAGAGTGATCAGCTCATCCTGGTTTCCCAAGAACCTTCAGCTAGCGCTGAAGTCCCTTGTCCTGGGCAATCCAGGTCAGTTGGTCACCCTACATTTCGTGTGTGTGTGTATAATTAAGATATTCATCCTTTCTCCTATCTCCACGGACACTCCAAGCCTCTCCAAAGCTAGGCAATTGTCTCGTGTCTCAGTTAACCTGGGTATCCCTTCTCTACTCTGTCCCAAAGTCTGATGTGCAGTCTCAAGTATAACCTGTAGACTTGGCTTGGGGCCCTTCCTGCCAAGGCGGACACTGAAAGGCTTGAGATCCTGGCCTTCACAGGGGAAGGGGGAGGGGCAGAGGGCAGGCTGAAAGAACAGAATGGCATGGAGGACTGGAGCTATGGGTGAGGAGGGCATCGCAAGGCAGGTAAAGTTACAGAAAGCAGAGGAGGTGGGTAGCCTCGAGATGCAGGATGTTTGGGACAGAGTGAAGACAGAGGAGAAAGGAGGGAAGATAAAGGAGAACAAAGTCATTTTGCAGGTCTACATAAACCCCCTGGAGTGCTTGGCCAGGGAGGCAAAGCTGACTACCTGCCACTGACCACTCACCACCAATATGTGTTTTATACCTCTCTCACACTGAGGACATGAGGGGAGGGGAGCCTCAGGTGTAGGTGAGGAAGCACGTGGGAAGTATCCAGGCCAGATGGCTGGGAGCCCCTTCCCCATCAGGCATCCAGGAGTGCTCTTAAAACCCAAAGAGGGTGAGCCTTGCCCTTAGGACTGGAGCAGCAGGTGAATGATGGACTATGAGTAAGTGGTTTACCTTTAGCAGGTGTTGGGCTGTGTAGAAGCCAGCAGGGCCACTGCCCACCACACAGATCTGAGGGGTCTTCTCCTGTGTGGATAAATGGTGGCGGAAGCCTGGGGCCAGGCAGAGGAGAGGGAAAAGGCCAAAATTAACTTCTCTCCCCAGTCCCAAACCAACCTGAATATCCAACAGAAGCTGGAACTTCCCAGGCTTCACCCTCACCTGCATCCTCCTTCTCTTGTTCCTCAAGGCTGTGGCATTTGAGGGTCTCTTATTTCATCTGAACCCCCAAAGGCTGTGTGTTCATCCAGAGCCTCACATCTCACCCATGAACCTACTACACCACTGCCAATGGCCTGCCCAATAACACTTAATTCCCTGTCCAATCCGCTGGAATCCCACATCCTTCCAACGGCCTCCACATCATCCCAATCTCGACCCCGTGGGTCTCCCCACAGTGTCCCTCCTCTAACCACTCTCTCTCCACAAAACGCTATATTGCCCATATAGACCCGTCTTATTCCTACAGATCCCTGTTTCGACTCAGACTTCGCCTCTCGCCCCACAGACCTCCGTATCACTCCCCATTCACCCCGTCTCACACCTGTGGATCTCAAAGTCTCTCCTTTTCACCTTTGTTGACCTCCGTCGCTCACCCTAGAAGCCTCACATCTCACGCACAGATCTCCGCCCACCCCCGTACACTACCGCGATCTCGCTAGCAGGAAGACACTCCTTCAGTCTCACCCCTCTCCAGCCCTTCCCCAGCTCGGCTCCGACCCCTACTCAGCGCTCGCAGGCCTCCCCGCCCTCCCATCCAGCCCCAAAGGCGCCCTGCTCCTACTCGGGGTGCTCCCGGCGGGAGGCGGCCGAGTCCGAGGCCACGCCGACCAGCCCCACCAGCGCCAGCAGCGCGAAGCCATGGCTGGGAACAGCAACCTGCAAGCGGATCTGGTCCTGGCTACTGCCCCGCAGTGCAAGCCCGCCCCTGCCCGGGCCCGCCCACAAGCGAGGCCCCGCCCCTAAACCCCGCCCCCCGCGCTCCGGGGAAGCACAGCGTTGCGGCTCCACCCCTACTCTCGAGAGAATCCCGCCCCCAAAAGAGAGACCCACCCTTAACTACGCCCCACCGTAGAAGCCCCGCCCCTCAGAGCATCCGGGGTATACGTGATTTAATACATTTCTCCCCAAGCCTCACCTTCCCCCCAAATCCCGGAAGCCTAAAAGAGAGCGAATCCCCATCGCTGTTTCAGTCTTTTCCCAAGGAAATAACCAATTAGAAAGGAGCCTATTTTACTTAGCCGCGCCCCTCTCGGGAGGCTCTCGTCGCTCGCTGATGACGCATACGCCCTTGCCATTTGATAACGAGTCCTCCCGCGTGACTTCGTTCCAGCCAATCATTAGTCCGGCTCCAAGCCAGCCTTCCCGCCTTTGGGAAATAATCCGAGTGCGGAAGTCTGGAACAAGGGAGCTGCCGCGCGGAGCCCAGCAGCTTCCTTCTTCGACCCCGGGTGTTGTGCCGAGGTAATCCCTCAAATCCCTGTCTTTGTCGGGCCAGGGAGAATATTAAACCCTGGAAAGCTCGTCCCACCTCACCTCCTTTCCCATTACATAGGTGAAGAAAAGGGCGGCGTGGCAGTGGCTTACCTATGGTACTAAGTACAGAGCCTCCGACCCCCGTGCAGCCTTGTCGGGACCAGGGTTGAGGTACTCCCCTCGGGTTCAGAATTTAAGGGGGCTCCAAAACACTCAGTAATCAAGATAAATATAATACTGCAACGTTTTAAAAGGTCAAAATTAATGCAACAAATCTATGACCAAAATATTTTTTAAAATAAGAACAGGACCCGTAGTCACAGCTGACCCAATAAACCTAATCCCTCTTCCTTTTCCCCATGGGCCTTCTTGTCAAACATTACTTCCTTGGAGAAGCCTTTTCTCTGACCCGTCCCCTCCCAAGTTCCAAGGAGTTAAAGCTTCTCATTCCACAGCATCCGACCTTTCCGCATCATGACTTACTACACTGTCGTTTTTAATGAGATTTTAAATTCAAGAATAACATACAGAAAAGTGCACAAATCATAAGTGTACAACTTGACAATATATCACAAGGTAACCATATAACCACCACCCAGATCAAGAAATAAAGCATGGCCAATATCCCAGTAGTCCTCTGTGCCCTTACTGTTCACTTCCCCTCTCGCCCACTGGTAAGTAAATACTGTAGTGCTTTCTAATAGGTCCTGTGTTGTATGCCTGTCCCACTAGACCAGGAGTAGGCAAACATATAGATTGCAGGCCAAATACTGTCCACCAACATGTTTTGAATGACCAACAAGAATGGCTTTTACTGTTTTTGGTTTTTTGAAGGTTTTGGGGTTTTTGGTTTTGGTTTTGGTTTTTGAGACAGGGTCCCACTCTGTCACCCAGGCTGGAGTGCAGTGGTGCCATCTCGGCTCACTGCAACCTCTGCTTCCTGGCTCAAGCAAGCCTCAGGCCTCAGCTTCCGGAGTAGCTGGGACCACAGGTGCCTGCCACCACGCCTGGTTCATTTTTGAATTTTTTGTGAAAAATGGGATTTTGCCATGTCGCCCAGGCTGGTCTCGAACTCCTGAGCTCAAAGTGATCCTCCCACCTCGGCCTTGCAAAGTGCCAGGATTACAGGAGTGAGCCACTGCACCCAGCTGGTTTTTACATTTTTAATGGTAAAAAATAAAATCGTGTGACATGTAAAAATTACATGAAATTCAGACTTCGGTTTGAATAAAACTTTTTATTGGAAGACATCCATGCTTCTTTACATATTGTCTATGGCTATATTTGTGCTTTGACGGCACAATTGAGTAGTTGTAACAGAGATCATATGGTTCGCAAAGCCCCAGATATTTACTATCTGGTCCTTTACAGAGTTTGACCACCCCTGCACTAGACTATAACTCCACGAAGATGGGGACCCAATCTCATTAGCTCTTACATCCCCAGGGCTTCACACACTGGCTGGCACATAATAGAAATTCATACAATCGAAAAGTGTATGTAGGGCTCCCCATCTAGAGGCAGTATATCTGGTGGTGAAGAGGATGGATTCTACAGTCAGACAACACTGGGTTTGAATCCCTCTTCCTCCACTTACTAGCTATATAACGTTGAGAAATTTAATCTCTCCAGGACTTTTTTTCACCATCTGTAACATTCGGGGGAAATATGAACAGCGGCAATTTGTTGTAGACATTAAAATCAGGTGATGTAGCTAAAGACAACTTCCATAAATGCTAGATAAACATTAGCTATTATCATCGTCAGCCATATGTATTATGACCGTCTCCCATATGTCTCTATAGATTAGACTTTAGGCCTCTGCAGAGACCTGGATATACTTCATTCACTCCTGTCACCTCCCTCACCTCTCAGGCCCCAGAAATTCCCAGCCCACATCCTAAGCGAAACAGAAAATGGAGCCTCAAAGCAATCGAGTGACTTGTTCCCAGGATACCCATGGTACAGCCAGATCTGGCACCAGGGCCTGCAGCTGCTGCCCATACCCCAGTCAAGTCCAGATCAATAACGGTGAGTCATTGGTTATGTATTTGGATGGTTTTCATTATGAGCCAGGACTGTGCAACTGGGGCCTTTTCTGCCACTGCATTTCTCAGATGGAGAATTAGCAGTTTGATTAATTACACCCCTAGACCTCAAGGCCATTTCTAAGCTGCTAATGCATTTCCAAGGAGCAGCAATAACATATAGCAAAGCGGCGGGCTGGGGAGCCGCCAAGCCTGCCTCGTGCCAAGAGGGCTGCCTGGATCCAAAATTCCAGTCTATCAGTCAGCCTTCTAGCAGGGAACAGATGGCACACTCAAAAGGGGTGATTGAGGACAGTTTAATGAAGGAATTTGTATACAAAGGTGTGAGCAGGGTGAAGGGAATGGAGAAGCACCCCAGGCTAGCAACAGCTGGAAGCCACTACTACCACAAGCCTGGAGGGAGCTGTTTCAGACTGTTTAGGAACTAGTGAGAGCCTGTAGCTATGGAAAAGGGCGTCTAAAGGAGCTGCGGTCTTTGGTAAAGGAAGGTGTGGTGGAGATGCGTGGGGAGTGCACCTAAAGGAATCAGTGGCTTCTCTGCAGCTGCCTAAGGCCACACCAAGAGGGGCTCTCCAACGGAACAGGGCTCAGGGAATGCCTGTGTCTGTAGCCACACCCCTCTGCCCATCCCACAGGCTCCCATTTGCCGGCAGTTTGTCTCCTTATCAGCAGGGTCAGCACGCCTTTCACCCCATCCAAGGCCACTGAAAAACAAGGCAATTACGTGCTCAGAGAATGACTTGCATGTTCTCGACTGGGTTGACTTGGCAATGTCTGGAGACATTTTTGATTGTCACAACTTGAGCTCCCAGCATCTAGTAGGTAGAAAGCAGTGATGCTGCTAAACATCCTATAATGCACAGGACAGCCCCCAACAACACAGAATTGGCCAGATAAAATGTCAGTAGTGACCGGGCACGGTGGCTCATGCCTATAATCCTAACACTTTGGGAGGTCGAGGTGGGCAGATTGCCTGAGCTCAGGAGTTCGAGACCAGCTTGGGCAACATGGTGAAACTCCGTCTCTACTAAAATAACAAAAAATTAGCCGGGCATGGCGGCAGGCACCTGTAGTCCCAGCTACTTGGGAGGCTGAGAATCGCTTGAACCCGGGAGGCAGAAGTTGCGGTGAACTGAGATCGCGCCACTGCACTCCAGCCTGTACAACATAACAAGACTTCGTCTCCATTAAAAAAAAAAAAAAACAGGTCAATGGTGCTGAGGTGAGAGACCCTGTTTTCAACTAATGAGTCTGGCCTCCTTCTCTGTCTCTCTGTCAGCCTCTACCTGGGCACTTCCTGGCACCCTCCCAGTCCAGCCCCCAGCTGGGGCAGCTCCTGGCCCTCTCAATACTACCCACTGTAGGCTGAATCTCAGTGGTGTCCCCCAGCACCTTGGCCTCTTCCTCTGCCTGGCATTGGCGGTTCTCTTATATTCCCATCTCATTCCCAGGCTGCAGACCATCCTTCCACAGCCCCGCCCAGCCCTGACTTCAGGCTCTTCTGTCTGCACCCCACCCTCCTCCCATTCCTCTCTGAGGCCATCTGTCCTCCAGACCCTGTTCCCAGAACCCCCTCCAACCCCAGCCCCCTCCTACAAATTCTTCTCTCTCCCAGTGGATGATCCCCAGGTTCACCACTTCTAAACATCACAGAACAAAGCAAACTGTTTGAACTAGCCAAGGTCACATTCAAAGCTATTTATTCTTTTTTTTTTTTTTTTTTTTTGAGATGCAGTCTCGCTCTGTCACCCAGGCTGGAGTGCAATGGTGCAGTCTTGGCTCACCGCAACCTCCACCTCCCAGGTTCAAGCGATTCTCCTGCCTCAGCCTCCCCAGTAGCTGGGACTACAGGTGCCCGCCACCACACCCAGCTAAATTTTTGTATTTTTAGTAGACACAAGGTTTCACCGTATTGGCCAGGCTGGTTTCGAACTCCTGACCTCATGATCCGCCCGCCTCGGCCTCCCAAAGTGCTGGGATTACAGGTGTGAGCCACCTCCCCCAGCCTGCTATTTATACTCTTTCCCCGACTCTGTCCCTGAGGAACCTTCTCCCCTCACTTCCCCTGGAGTTCCCTCCCCACAAAACACACTCACTTTTATCTCACTGATACTGCGGCCTGGGGAACTGCTGAGCCAGTACCTTGCATAGGTTCCTTTGGCTGAGGATCGAGGAAGGCCTGCCAAAAGCAAGCTCACCCTGAGGTCCCCAGGGAGAGGGCACCTTGGTGCACGAAGCCTGAAGGAAACAGTGGCCAAGGCCGTGTGGGGCTGTCCCAATGCCAAGGAGGTCCCAGCCGAGGGAACTGACCCTGATCTCTGTGCCCCCTGCTGTCTCCCAGGTGGCCCCTGCACAGTATCCCTCCTCACTCACCTTGTCACCTCCCCTTAGTCCTACCAAGGATAGAGCAGGGGGAAGGACCCAGCTCTTTAGTCCTGAGATGAAGTTGCTGAGGTCCCGACTGACCAGAATGCACAGCCACCATTACCACCTCCCCTAGACACCCCTCAAAACCCAGAAAAGCATGCAAGGCAAGTGGACCCCGGACCCCAGGCCTGAGCTCCCCTGACCCCCTGCCTGCCTGGTGCCTTCACTCTCCAGGTCCGCCACCAGCCACTGAGCCACACCGCCTGGGCCAACAGCAGCAGGAGGGCCAGAGAGGGACGGGGTGGCTGCACTGGCCCGGCCTCATTGTAGCCCCACGAGCTCAGTGATAGGTGGGGCCTGCACCATGAATTCCTCATAGCAACGGAGAAACAGCCGGAAGCGAGCCAGGTACGAGTCCTCGTTGTACGGTAGCTGCTTCTCACGGAGGAACTGGGACACCACGGGCTTCACCTGGTGGAAAATGGGCAGGAGAGGGGCCTATGAGCTGGGGCTGTGGGCAGGCCCATCGTCCTATGGTGGGTGGCAGTGGGCATCATCTTCCCACCCGCAGCTCCTATCGGCCTTGTTCCAAGATTCTCCGGAGGAGTAGAACGCCTTAAGTCAGAGAATTCTTGTCCCCAACCCAGCAGAAGAAAGGAGTGGCTTCTCTCCAACATCCAGGGATCCTGACTGCGTGACAGCCCTCCTTGGCACAGGGGGATAAAAACCAGAGCTCCCTTTTACCAAGCCCCTACAGGCGCCCGCCACCTCGCCCAGCTAGTTTTTATGTATTTTTTAGTAGAGACGGGGTTTCACCGTGTTCGCCAGGATGGTCTTGATCTCCTGACCTCATGATCCGCCCATCTTGTCCTCCCAAAGTGCTGGGATTACAGGCTTGAGCCACCGCGCCCAGCCCCAAATCTATAATTATTTTCAAAATAAAAAGCTTTTTACAAAAGTATATTTTTGTACTGCAAATCTGAGTTTTCCCTCCAAATAAATATTAAAGATTAAAAAAATAAGAAGTCGGCCGGGCGCGGTGGCTCAAGCCTGTAATCCCAGCACTTTGGGAGGCCGAGACGGGCGGATCACGAGGTCAGGAGATCAAGACCATCCTGGCTAACCTGGTGAAACCCCGTCTCTACTAAAAAAAATACAAAAATCTAGCCGGGCGAGGTGGCGGGCGCCTGTAGTCCCAGCTACTCGGGAGTCTCGAGGCAGGAGAATGGCGTGAACCCGGGAGGCGGAGCTTGCAGTGAGCTGAGATCCGGCCACTGCACTCCAGCCTGGGCGGCAGAGCGAGACTCCGCCTCAAAAAAAAAAAAAAAAAAAAAAAAATGTCGTAGTTGAACTTAGGCAACTGTAAAGGTAAACTGAGGCTGGAGCCAAACCGGGAACAAAGACACAAGGCAAATGGCAGTGAGAATAGCCTTTTATTAGGACTAGCGGGCGAGGTTCCTCGGTCCAAAGGCGTGGGCGCTGAGGGAGGAGGGTAGGGGCTTCTTATAGCCCGAGAGGTAGGGAAGCTGGTTGTGCAAACAGGGCCTGGGGGGGTCTTGAAACTATTAGGGCAGGAGTTGAGTAAGGGTCATGAGGAAGGGGTCTTTGGAAACTGTCAACCAAAACTGCTGTTTACGAACTTGTGGAATGCAAGTGAGCTGCAGGTCATGGGGGAGTGTGGTTGCCCAGCCAGAACTCTGACGCATGTAAGTCTGCCGGTGTGCACAAGGGTGAAGGGAGTCTTTAACATAAGGCCTGCTACGCCGGGTAACGCCGCCATGTTGGGTCTAGATTCCTGCCTAACAGCAACAACCCTCGAGGTTTGCGTGGAAACAGGCAGAGAGAAGGTTGGAGAGACAGCTCAGAGGGTAATGACCACACTGAACTTCCGTGAGAAGAGAACGTTCCAGGATCACGACTTAGGTGGGGGGAGGGCGGTTCCTGACCCTGTTTCCACCCCCACAAGAGCCCCAAAGGAAGCCGATGGCATTCCCCTATGAGGCGCCCCTCCCCCAGGGCAGAGCTCCGGTCCAGCAGCTGTGGTTCCACCCCTGCAGCCCGAAGCCGACTTCACAAGGAGGATTTGAAGAGGAGACCCTGGAGCTTAGGAACTGGCAAGGTCTGTTCCCTCCCACTCAGGGGAGCATCTTGGATTGTGAGTGACATGCAGGAGAGTCCCTAAAGCCGTCTGATTTCAGGAGTTAATCTTTCCCAAGCTTCGGGGCTTAAATTACGGGGGCCTGCCCAGCCCACACTGCCCCCCACCTTCCCGTGGCCATCTGAGCACAGCACAGTGCCCCTCATTGGCAGTCCCCGAGAACACGCCCGGCAGTCCCCATGGTGATCCAGGACAGGGCTGGGCAGGCACTCTCGCTGGGGAAGGCCAGGGTTATCAGTGGCAGGAGAGAAGGTCAGCCTTAGGCTACCCGGAGGGATAGAACTTTCCTATGTGGAACACAAATGGGTCTTCGGAGGTTGGATACTTTAGGAGAGAAACAACAGCCTGGACTGGAAGCCTCCGCCTCCAACCTGTGTGCCCCTCCCCCAGATCCGATGGCCTAGCCTGGAGCTGATAAACCCTGAGACAAGCCCAGCAAAAGCTGGGCGCCCAGGAGAGCCAATGATACTCAGTTAATGCTTGAGGCTGCAGCATTTGCCAAACACCAAAAGGAGCCCAGGGCCTATGGCTGCATTATTCTGCAGTGATGATGTCTCCTGAGCGTCAAGGTTTGGGAAAAGCACAGAAACTCCACAAGGAAGGATCCTAACAGAGAAGGCACCAAGACATGGGAGGAGAGTCAGAGATCCAGGAAGGTTCCCGGGGCATCCTCTGAGGTCCCAGGCAGCAAGAACGTGTCCTCTGCGCCCGGCAGAGGCCCAGAGGACACAGCATCTAACCCCCCAACATATACACAGCCCCATTGAGATTTGCAACCTGGCAGTTAAACAAACAAACAAGAGGACACAGCATCTAACCCCCCAACATATACACAGCCCCATTGAGATTTGCAACCTGGCAGTTAAACAAACAAACAAACATGACAGGCCAGGCGCAGTGGCTCACGCCTGTAATCCCAGCACTTAGGGAGGCTGAGGCAGGTGGCTCACCTGAGGTCAGGAGTTCAAGACCAGCCTGGTCAACATAGTGAAATCCTGTCTCTACAAAAATACAAAAAAAAAAAAAAAAATTAGCTGGACATGATGGCGGGTGCCTATAATCCCAGCTACTAGGGAGGCTGAGGTGGGAGAATCACTTGAACCCTGGAGGTGGAGGTTGCAGTGAGCCGAGACCATGTCATTGCACTCCAGCCTGGGCAACAGAGCAAGACTCAGTCTCAAAAAAAAAAAAAAATGACAAATAAAGCAAACAACAACTGCTAACCCTTTCCTTGCAGCTGACCACGTCAACTCCAGAGAAAGAAAGTGAAGATCATACTGGTGGAGCGTGTCAGCACCAGGCCCTCTGTTAAGGTCTGCACTGTTTCGTTTAATTCACATGCTGGCCTCATGAGGGAGGTCATGTTATTTCTCCTGCTTATCAGGTGAGGAAACTGACACTTAGATGTTGAATTAAGTAACTTGCTCAAGGTCTGGGCAGCCAGTGGGGCTGGGATTCCAACCATGGCTTCAAAGGCTGGTCTTGAACTCCTGACCTCAGGTGATCCTCCCACCTCGGCCTCCCAAAGTGCTGGGAGTACAGGCATGAGCCCCAGACACTGCCACCCTGTGTGGCAGACAAGACCAGCACCCTCCAGCAGTGCACTTGCCTCACCAATGCCAGCCAGACTGGGGAGACAGGTACACCCCTTCCCCCACACTGGGAACTGGATCCTCCCCAGAGGGTAGCTGGAGGGCACCTGTGGGATGAAAAAATCAAGACGCATCTCACTCTCCCACGTAGGTTAGTCAGAGGCTTGAGTGATAAACAACTCTGGCCCTGTTCCTCAGCCCACTGCAGTCCACCAGACAGGGGTGATGACACGAGGCAGGAGCGAAGCCTTCCCTCCCCAGCTTCGAGGGGGCTGGCAGGCCTGAACCTGGTTCCCTGGACAACTGCAGGGTCATCTCAGCAAATACTGATGGAAGAATATTGCCAAGAGCTCAAGTCTGTGCCAGGAACTAAAGAGTCAAACAGGCACAGATGAAGTCACTGGGTTTACAGGGACAAGACAGCATTCACAAGCAGAATACAGCCCTGAGGCTACCGGGGTATCTCATGCGTGCTGGGTGTCGGTAGAGCACTCCAGTAGAGAAGCCCAGGAAGGCTTCTCAGAGGAGGTGTCCTTGGCCTCCTGCGTTCATTTGGCACACATGATAGCTACTGTGTGGGTGTAGCACTTTGGTGGGTATCAGATTCACCTGTAGAACTTGGTAAAAAACACAGTGGCCTGAGTCCTCTTCTCCAGCAAGCCTGGGCCTCCAGATCGTTCTGCTACACACCAAAGTTTGAGAAGCACCAGATCACCTCTGTGCAATAAATCCATAACAGCCAAGCAGTCCCAAAGCCTCAGTACCTGCTCCTCATTCTCAGCTGCCTCCAGGCTCCTGGTACTCAGTACAGCTTTTTTTTTTTTTTTTTTTTTTGAGACACAGTCTCACTCTATCTCAGCCTCCCGAGTAACTAGGACTACAGGCGCCCGCCACCACGCCCGGCTAATTTTTTGTATTTTTAGTAGAGACGGAGTTTCATCATGTTAGCCAGGATGGTCTCGATCTCCTGACCTCATGATCTGCCCACCTCGGCCTCCCAAAGTGCTGGGATTATAGGCGTGAGCCACCACGCCTGGCCAATGTTTTGTTTCTTAAACTGAGTTCTAGTTAACCTTGAGTGTTCAGTTTGTAAAACTTCATCATGCTATACTGTTAGGGTAGATGCATTTTTCTGTCTAGGTGTTATATTTTAATTACAACAATTTTATATTTTCTTTTTTTTTTTTTTTTTTTGAGACGGAGTCTCGCTCTGTCGCCCAGCCTGGAGTGCAGTGGCCGGATCCCAGCTCACTGCAAGCTCCGCCTACCGGGTTCACGCCATTCTCTTGCCTCAGCCTCCCGAGTAGCTGGGACTACAGGCGCCGCCACCTTGCCCGGCTAGTTTTTTGTATTTTTCAGTAGAGACGGGGTTTCACCAGGTTAGCCAGGATGGTCTTGATCTCCTGACCTCGTGATCCACCCATCTCGGCCTCCCAAAGTGCTGGGATTACAGGCTTGAGCCACCGCGCCTGGCCAACAATTTTATATTTTCAATTGGTAATCACTTTTTTTTTTTAATTTTATTTATTTATTTTGAGATGGAGGCTCATTCTGTTGCCCAGGCTGGAGTGCAGTGGTGCAATCTCGGCTCACTGCAACCTCTGTCTCCTGATTCTCCTGCCTCAGCCTCCCCCAGTAGCTGGGATTACAGGCATGTACCACCACGCCCAGCTAATTTTTTTGTGTGTTTTGTGTTTCTATTAGAGACGGGGTTTCACTATGTTGGCCAGGCTGCCTCGAACTCCTGACCTTAAATGATTCGCCCACCTCGGACTCCCAAAGTGGTGGGATTACAGGCATGAGCTACCTTGCCCAGTCGGTAATTGCCTTTTGTAGAGGTATAAATCAGAAGGTAAAATCACCCCTAAACCCAGCACAGTGGAGCATGGGAAGGCAGGGTGGGGCTGGCCTATGAGTTCCCTTGGCCATGGGATCGGCATGAGTGTGGGTGGGTGGCAGAGCAGCCAACCTACCCCTGCCAGCTGCCCCCAGAGTCTGAGTGACAGCCCCCAACTCCTCTCTATCCCTCTGTCATCTTGTCCTGACCTCTTAGCCATTGGTACCCCCATCCCTGCCTCGGGATCCTGCTCACAAAGTGAGGCTGAATTGTCAAGCCTGGGACGAGGCGCTTTGGACGGCAGGCCTGCACTCCCTGGGGCTCCCTGCTTCCGTGTTTCCCAACAGGCCCTGGAGGCCTAGTAAGCAGGCCTAGGCAGGCTCCTTAGCCTCTGCCCACAGTGGCAGAAACAGCCAGGGGCTGCCGACTCTCCCA